CAAAGATAAATTCAAATTAAATTCTGATGTCTATAACATGAATACTAGACAAAAATACAACTTCCACCTACCCTCATCAACTTTATCAGTATATCAAAAAGGAGTCTACTTTACTGGCATAAAAGTGTTCAACAATCTGCCACAAAGTATTAAAAACTTGGGCAATGATACTAAAAAGTTTAAATCAGAGTTAAAGAATTATCTACATGCTCATTCCTTCTACTCTTTAGATGAATACTTCAATGTAAATAGAGAATGATGTAAAATTAAGTTATATTAATTTTTAAGCTAAAATTGCCTGTACTTATGTATGTAACATTTTGACTTGTTCTGTATCCAAAGGTACTAACCTGCTTAGGATTTATAGAATGTAAATAAATTCAATTCAATTCAATGTATACAAGGTCCGTATAACGACAGTGGGAAGAATAGAAAGGAGTCTGAAAGTGGTGTCACATCAGTGAACCCCATCCTATGGACGCCTCCCTATCCCCATGGTCCTCCACAAGGTTCAAACGCCCCAAGGTGCATGGCGAACTCCAAGCCGAAGAGGCAGTGAATGAGGAGAATCCCCTAGCTTCCTAGCCCCTCTTTGCTGAAGGCAGTACAAAGGGCTTTTGGACTTTTTCCATTGTCCAGAATTCTAGGTAATAGAGGACACAACATTTCGGAAACTGGATCTGTTTCTGTCATCAGGTGAGAAAGGAAGACACCTACTCAGTTGGGCCCCTTAGAAAGAGGTAATCTCAATCATGTGAAGTGTAAACACTGTGCCTTTGCTGTGCAAAGCATAATTTAAGCATTCTGTCATGGGCTGGATAACTAGTGAACATAAAACAATTCAGAAAAGTACTTCCACAGTGTCCAACAATCAAAAACAGTTTAAAAGCAGCCTGGGAATTCCAATGTGAGAAGCATAACCACGTACCATGGTGGAGTCCTGCTGACTGAGAATCATGAAAGCATGTGTATAATCTTGTTCTGGATCTTCAATTGCATCCTTTGTTCCAATCACAGTCCACATGTCAACACAGCCTGGGAGCTCAAAAGTTGTTACCACCTGCAGCATAAGACTCCCCAGTCAGCTTATGACATGAATAAATAACTTCTGTTTCATTTTTCCTTAGAAACAATGAATTACAGCACTAAACAGAGGGAAATCTTACATGGAAGAAATTTAACAGCGATATGATCAGCAAGGAATCACATAAATTGAACTATGATTTACATGAAATATGGAGTCAAGATGGATATAGTGGTGCTTCCATTACACAGTGCAACCTCAACATTATGAGTGCTTGTAAAATTTGCAAAAATTCTCATTCTAACGGCTGCACATGGTTGCTGCATGTGCACATATGTGAGGATAAATGAGTCAACTCATATCATACTAGAGTACCAGACCAAGACAGAATGAAGTTTAAATCTCATCAATATTTTATGTATGTGCATTGCATTATGGGTTCCAAATTCTGTGGGTGTAATACACGAGACTTTTTGATGTTACGTACATAAGACATGGAAGTTACTACAGGATTCTGATGATGGTGTATAACACACAGAGATATTGGGTTTTTGGACTTTATCCATTGTCCTGGTTTTAAGATAACTAAGAAAAACACGATGTTTTGGAAATTGGATCTGTTTTTGTCCTCAGGTGAGGGAAAAAACCTATTCTGTTGGGTCCCTCAGTCAACCCAACAGAATAGGTGTTTTCCTTCACCTGAGGACGAAAACAGATCCAGTTTCCAAAACGTAGTGTTTTTCTTAGTTATCTTAAAAGCAGGACAATGGATGAAGTCTGAAAACCCAATATCTCTGTGACATAAGACATGGTTTCGGAAATAAACATATCAGCTCATGTTGAACTGGAGTAACAGAGAACAACCCCTGATGCAGTTTATATCTCAATAATACTTAACATATGTGCACTATTTATGGGTTCTTAATGTCACAGTTCAAATACACTCAACTCTCGATTATCCGGGGGCAGATAAACCGGTTTGCGGCTTAACCAGGGCTACCGGGGCTTTTTTGAGGCTTATATGTTGTTTAATATTCATTCACTTTTGTTTCACGTGGCGAGTTGTAACACCATTTTCGCACTAGTGTGAACCGAGTTCTGCATTTTTTGGTCCTGTTATGCTAACACAATGTTCTAGGGTAGGGGTGAAAGAATGCAAGGATTTGTAGAAAGTTTCAAGGACAGTTACACCACCCCAGTTAGTCTCTTTGTATCGATCTTCAAGTGCATTAGCAAAATGTCAGGGTGTAAAAGGAAGCGTGTTGTGTTAAGTATTTAACAGAAACTTGAAATTATCAGTTGGGAAAAAGAGGTGTAGTTAAACAATTAGCAATGCAATACTGTACTGGTGAATAAACTGTTCGTGATTTGAAAAAACAAAAGAATTAATTAATTTCCTTCACTTCGCCTTCTAATTCAAGCGGAATGAAGAGAAAAACCATGAAAAAATCAACATACGTGTATGATGATCTCGACAAAGCAATGCTGATCTGGATTAATCAACTAAGAGCACACGGAACAAGAATAACAGGAGCAGTTTGTGCTAAACAAGCAAAATTTTTCTGAAGCACTTGAACTATAAGGAAGTTCTGACGCTTCTTCTGGTTGGCTAACACGTTTCAAGCAGCGTCATGGAATACGAGAAATTAGTATTCAAGGTGAGAAACTGTCAGGGGACTTGTCATCATCAGTTCAATTTTGCATCAATTTTGATAGTTTTGTGAAAGGTGAAAATCTGCTACCAGAACAAATCTATAATGCCAATGAATCGGGTCTTTATTGGAAATGCTTGCCAACCAGAACTTTGGCATTTCAAAATAAAAGACAGGCTCCAGGTCACAAATCCAGTAAGGATTGATTGACAGCCTTGTGCTGTTCTAATGCATCAGGAACACACAAACTAACACCAGTAGTTATTGACAAAGTGAAAAGACCACACTCTTTTAAAGGAACAGTAGTTTCAAGTCTGTCTATCCATTATTTTAATCAGAAAATAGCTTGGATGAATAGAGCGATATTTAAAGAATGGTTTTATTTTAAATTTGTGCCTCAAGTTTGTGACCATCTAAAATCCCAAGGCCTACCTGAGAAAGCTTGTGCTCCTCATTGACATTCCGCCCTCACGTCCTAACGAAAGTCTCCTGGGGTCAGATGATGGAAATATTTTTCTCCTAATGTTACCGCACTTATCCAACCAATGGATCAAGGAGTTATCTCAAGTATGAAGATAATCTATAGATCAAATTTGCTACAAAAGTATATCGATGAAGGCAATGATCTGATGTGTTTCTGGAAGTCTTTTTCAATGTTAGATGCCATATATGAGATTTCAACAGCGTAGGATACAGTAAAGCCATCTGTATTGAAAAATTCATGGAAGAAACTGATGCCTTTCATCACTAATGAAGATGACGAAATCCAGGGATTCACTGGATTCAGTGAAAATGAGATAGCCATAGAATTGACAAAATTGGCTAACCCAGTTCATGGTGGTGAAGAAGTCAACGAGGAAAATATAAGAGTGGTTTGACTGTGACTCGTGTGAGCCGGGCTTCCAAATGTTAAGCAGTGACAAAATCGTAAGTTCAGTGGGGGTGCAGCCAGAAGAGCGGGAAGAAAGTGAGAATGAGGAAGAGGTGGACAGTGCTGCTAGTAAGAAAATATCACATGGTGCTGCTCTTAATCATTTGGAATCCTTACTAGACTATCTTGAGAGTGAAGAGAACAGTTTATTAAGTGACAAGCTAATATTACGTAGGCTTTGTACGGATATCCGTAAAAAGGCGCGAAAAAGCAAATGACAATATTAAACTGTTTTAAGTGTTAAGTGTGAATATTTGTAAAAAGTGTTGGATGTTGCTGAACACTGTGATTGAAATAACTAATTCATACTTCAGTGTAATGTAAAAAAAGTATTAAATAGGCCATGAGATGACATAAAAATGAGGTTGAATAAATTTAAATACAGGTAGGCCTATAGTATTATGAAGGTACAGTATTACAGTACTACTTTCAATAAAATTTGTCTTAACCAGGTTTTCGATTAATCATGATTTCCATCCCCACCATTATCCTGGATAATCGAGAGTTGAGTGTATATGAAATTTTTTATACTATGCATGTAATACATAGTTGTGAAACAGCCATTATACATAACTGCTCATCTGTAAAACATATACAGGGTGTGTCCAAAATCCGTTAGGACTCATTTTTTAAATTTTGCCCTGCAATGCCATCTGTTGGCGAGTTGTGGCGTTAAGATTCTTGAAGTTACAGCTGTGGCTGTCTATAATTTCAAAGCGCAAGCATTGCTGCATCATCACCTTGAATGCAACAGTACTGTTCTGACGCTCGGCGGAAAATGGTGTTTGAACAGAGAGCCAACATCAAATTTTGTTTGAAGTTAGGCAAAATAGCCGGTGAAGCGTACAATATGATGAAAAGTGTGTACAGTAGTGTTTGTTTGAGTCGCTTGAACATTTTTCGATGGTATGCTGTATTTTGAGATGGCAGGGAGGACACTGAAGACGCTCCACGTGCATCAAAGCTGAGAACAAGTCGCACTGAAGAAAATGTGAAAAAAGTGACCAAAATCCTTGCATCAGACATGTGTTTCTGCAAGGCTCATCGAGGAGCTTTTGGGAATACCAAAAAGTACTGTGCATCAAATTTTGACTGAGGAATTTGGCAAACGGAAGGTATGTGTACGGTCTGTCAGGCGATGAAAAACATGCCAGAGTGGAACATTGCAAAGACATGTTATGGTCAGCCCGAAGTGATACAAAATTTACAAAATCGATTGTTACTGGTGACGAGACATGGTGTTTTCAATATGAGCCTCTTACAAAGCGGCAGAGTGCAGGGTGATTGAGCCCAAAGGAGCCAAAATCAAAGAAAGTACGCATGCAAAAGAGGCGAGTAAAAACACTGTTAACCATTTTCTTCTACCCAAAGGAATCATTCATAAGGAATTTCTGCCAGAAGGTCAAACAGTGAATTCTGATTATCTTGGAGTCCTCAATGGTTTGTGGGCGAAAATTCTTCGAATTCGACCTGGATTTCGAGAGCAAGGTTCCTGGTCGCTCCGCCACAATGCCCCACCCCACAAATTGAAGATCGTGCGCGAGGTTTTGGCCAGAAAAGGGATCACAGTCCTTGATCATCACCAGATTTGGCTCGGTTGTTCCCAAAAGTTAAGTTGGCGATGAAGGAAGACCGTTATGACACAATCCAGGACATCCAAAGGGAATGTACCACAGTTATAAATCGATGCCACAGAAGGAGTACAGTGACTGTTTTCGAAAACTTTTCATCGATTCCAGCTATGTATTGATTCAGAAAGAGACTATTTTGAACGAAAAGAGTGACATTTTGAAAATAATTCACGGCTTGTATTTTTAATGAACACAGTCCTAACAACCTGGACACACTGCGTATGTTACAGTAGTGACACATAAACCATATATGAATCTGTAAGTGTTTAATTTTCTAATCTAACAAAATTACATTTAAGTAAGGTACCACACACTCATAATGCAAATAATTCTACAACATACATGGACAGGATCCATAACATTATAATTCCAGCACTCATGACGTTACATTGGTAGCACAGGTCTGTTCCATTATGTCCATTACACAGTTAGAAACTGATGTTCGGAAATGAATTTCACCGATTTGAGCAGCCCTTCCCCTCTTAACCTAACTAGCTAGGGGAAGATGCTGCTTTTGTCTCTGGTTCCTTTAAGTTGTTTCTCAATGCCTTTATCCCCGAGATAGGGTGGGGTGTCCAAGCTGTATGCCTTGAGTGACAATAGCTAGGAAAAATCTCCAGATAACAAGATTAACATATGTTTAATATAACAAAATAAAGCAATACAATGAAATACTGTCACATGTTGGGTATGTGATGCGACAAATAACTTCATGCCGTTTTGGATCTTAGCGAATTTATTGTACACTCACTCTTACGCTTACAAAATTTACAATTTCACAAGTACTGCCATCTGCAGTATCACAATTACTTCTCCTGCTGT